AACTAATAATTTTATTATAATAAATAATTTATTGATTTAATTTACTGTTATATTCAATCTTTGATTACCTCTGATTCGTCGGATAGCTATAGAGTAATATTAAATCCATCTGTGCTCGTATTAAGGTTTTCCAAACACTAAATTCTCTTTCACTAAACTGGTAATGTGTTAGGTAGATTTTTTGTAAGCTAGTAACTAGCTCTATTGTTTCATTTTCATTTTGGGCCCAATTAATAAAGAACTGATACCATAAGATATTAGCAATTGTTCTTTATTTTAAGTAGTAATTAAAAAGTTTCTTCATAATATCATAATTATTCCAATCAACAAAAGTACAGGTAGGAACTTTATGTTGATTAATATATAGTTGAGTTGTTGAATTATCTAAACCAAAAAGTTGTGTGCTGGTAAAATTTTTTATACTAATTGGATACCAAACTTCATCAGGAGTTCGTCCCTTAATACATTTTATTAGTTGAAATTCTTGGTAAATTTCTAGAAGATAGTTTAAATCATTATCTATAGTTGAAACAAATAATATATGTTTTGAATTATGTTCATGAATTAGTGATGATTTAAACCCAGATCTACCTTTACTAAGATTTTGACGTAATGACATGCCAATTCCAAATACAAAAATTTGCATTCTACTATTCAAAGAAAAAAAAAAAGAATAAAATATAATATCAAATAAAAGTTGTGAAATAATTTTTTCATTTGTCTATCCAATTACAAGAGATCCTGATACTCAGGTTTTGTTTTTGAATATATTAGCATATACTATTGATATAGCAGTACTTGGATCAGCAACAATTTCTGAAATTATACTACCACAATAATATTAGTAGCTGAGTAAAAAAGGAGCAGAAGGATAGCTAACAGCTACTGTTACAATAAACTTTTGTTTGTTAAGAATAGTAGCAGTTTTTTGGCCAATACAAATTGGGAATAAAGAACAATTTTCTTTTTTTGTATCATTTTTACACTACTAAAAATGGGAAAAAGGTTCATAATGAAAGTTTTCATTAATTAAACCTGTATCTAAAAGTGTAACAGCTACTTGACATTTTTTTTTTGACATTAAAGTATAAAAGTTTTCAGATTCAAGCGTTCATAGTAAAATAATTATAAATCTTATTCTATTTAATTAATATAAAATTTTATAAAATTATTGCTGATCTTAGCCGGATCAGCAATTAATGTAGTTATATCTAAAATGCTATTTGTATTCATCTGTACAAAGAGCTCAAATATATAGTATTCTATATATTTTTGCTATAGGCTTACTACTCCAAATATATCTCTATGCTATAGAGTTGCATTTGCATATGTAAATAGAAGTTTTAATTTCTATTTGATTAGTTTAAGTATAGACTAATATATAGTATCACATAGTTTTTTCTTTAGACAGATATTTGCTAGCAGATATTTGAGCTTTGAGAGTAGTACTATATTGTTTATATATATTATTTGACTTGCTGAGAGTTTTTTAAATTTTAATATACAAATTAGTTTTTCTACTTTTTTTTTGCAATATAGGATACTTGTTTTTTTTTGTTTTTTTAAGTTTATCCAAACACTAAGAAATCTTATACTTTTTTCTAATTCTTTAACCTTAATCTGACTTGAAGATGTTCTAATTTGTATATATTCATCTTCTTTTTTTTGCTTATAGAGTCTCCATATAATTGCTTCAGATTTTGCTCTATTTATCTCTATATTGTGTAGTGTAAAAAAGCTATTTATACTTGTATAATTTTTTGTAATATATACCTAGACTCTGCTACTTATATAGTATCGTCTGCATATACTAATACTGAAATTATAGCTTTTTCTGTTTTATATATTCACTTTTCAATATCTATTAGCTACTGTAGTTTTATTTGGTACCTAATTTCTAGCTACTATATTCTTACTAGCAATGAGTCACAAAATATTTTTCATATTAGTAGAGAGATTACTTTGCTTTAGTCTATTCTATTTCTGGCTATGAAGAAATCTGTAAGGCCTTCATCTGTTATTACTCTTATTTCATGATCTTGATACAATTGCTTGATAAAGATAATTAGATTTTCAAGAAGTTTAATTCTCCTCATAGAGAGCTCTAAAGTATATATACTAACTGAGTCAAAAGCTTTTTATATATTCTAAAAAGCTATCAAAAGCTTTTTTTCTTTTTGAATTATATCTTCAATAATATTATTTAAGATGTTTATAGATGCTATAGTGCTTTCATTTAGTAGTCTTGCAAAGTTAGCTTCTTTTAAAACTTGTTTTTCAATAAAAACCTTGTTTAGTCTTTTAAACTATTCTGACTACAAGTTTTCTAAATATCTCAAGTAACATTATTAGTCTAGTGCTAGCCAAGTTAAATTCTCAATCTGTACTCTTAGGAATTAGATATATTTGTTCTAGCTTTTATTTTTTAGGAAATCTTCTTTCATAGACTACTTTGTTTGCAAATTTTATCAAGTTTTCTTTTGTTTTGAAGTTTACTTTTTTTATGAGTCTGTAGCCAATGTCTAAAATCCTAGATACTGTATTATCATGCTTATAATTTTCTATTTCTTTATTTTTCTTTTATTTTATTTTTAGTTTTATTATTTGATTTAGTATTTTTATAGTATATTTGTTATAGTTTTTATTTATTTTGTTTAGTTTTTGTATTTGTTACCTATACAGAGTGCTGATAGCAGTATGGATAAATTTTGTTAATTGTTTAGTATAGTATTTTAGTATAGTTTTATTAGTAATAGTTTTGTATAACAATTAGTCATAGTTTTTTTAGTTATATTATACAGAAAATTATAGAATAGTCTAAATATTATAGAATGTTTTAGAATGTCCCAGAATATCTTGGAATCACATAGCAACTTCTAGAATTATACAGAATATTCTATAACTTTTTAGAATTTTCTAGGTATTATTAATCAATAATTAGTAATATGTATTACCTTAACATTATATAAAGAGTACTGTAAATACTACCTTTAATATCATGAATACTGTAGCTAAAAATAACTATTGGTCTACTCAAATACTGCAAACACCAATACAGATTACTAATCCTTAGCAACCAAAAGTTATAAATACAGACTTTTTTCTCCCTTGACTCGATATAATATAGAATTAAAATCATAATAGTTCTAAAAGCAAGATAAATAATAATAACCTATTTAAATAATAACTGCCCTCTAGTTTTTAACAATAAACAATATTTTAATATTTTTAGTTTTCTCTTAAGCAAACTCTTACACTTTGTTTCTTTATAATTTTTTTTTATTATTTTTGGTTTCTTTAGTTTTTGTTATTAGAAATAATATTTTCTTTTTTTTTATTTTTGATTTTATTGATTTTAGTTTTGTTTGTTTATCAATAAATAAACTAGTGCCTTGAATAATAACTGTGAAAAACCTTCTGCTATCTAAAAATTTGCAGATTAATAAAGAACTACTTGTAATAATTAGTGCCTTCTAGTGAAAACAATTTGTTAAAATATTAGATAATTGAATAAATACTTTTTTAGCTCATATTCTTGTAACTCAAAAACATGATCATTTACATACCTAGAACTTAAATATTATACCTAAAATACTTACTGATATCTCTTGCCACCTTTGTTATCCTTCTAAAGCTGCAACAAATCTTAGTGATTATATTCAATTCGAAAGCTTTTAAACCTAGTTTTCTGTTAAATATCCTGCTTTATACTACATATCATATATCTAGAACTACTTCTAAGCTCTCACTAATAATTTAAATACTCCAAATACCTGAACTCTTATTGCTTATCTTCTTCTAAGTATCTGTTACTTCAAGGAACCTAAATCTTATAATCAAGTCTAACAGGAAATATACACTGTTCTTACTCTAACAAATAGTTTTAACAATGATCTTTTTGACATTATTTATAATATAAGTAAAACTGCTAACTCTCAAACAGCTGAATATCAAACTACACAATCAAATTCATCTGACAAAAAAGAAGATTTTGGTTTAGAATTACTCTTTAATCAACTAGAACTATAACAATTACCTCCTAATCAACTGCAACAAGAAAATATGACTCATTCTAATCAACAAAACTTCTAGGAACTTATTGATGCTCTTACCCAATTGATAGCAGCTTTGTCTAATACTACTACTGCCTTAACTAACAATACTAATACTATTAATAATCCTCTTAGAAAAGAGGCTTAAATAATTGATTTGCTCTACTTTTATAGTGAAAATCAGAACTCTATAATTTGGCTTACTGAATTTAACAAAGCCTGCAATACTAACAAAATTTCTGATGCCAACAAGCTTCAAGTTGCTTCTGTATATCTTAAAAGAGCTGCTGCTATTTAGTAAACTGAAAACTAAGCTTTGGTCAATACTAACCCTAATAGAATCAGATAATAGAATAATAGTAACTCTGCTCATAACACTAACTTCATCATTAACTTCTCTGCTGCCTTTTGTTCTCAAACCCTAGTTGAAATTTGGACCACTAAACTTGAACATTATCAACAATACTCTGGTAAATCTGTTAATAACTATACTGCTACTCTCTTGGAATTATATAAGAGACTAGAACATAGACCTTTCCAATTTTTTACTCACTTTAAAGCTCGTAAATTTGTAAATAGACTCTTATCTGAACTTTATGTTAATGTTAAACCCTATAATGATACTATCTGAAATGATACTATTAACTGTGCTAAAAATTATAAATTAATATATAAGAATAGTAATGCTATAACCTTTTGCCTTAATAAATACATAGAACCTGCTCAACCAAATAATCAAATAGATCAACTTGCTCAAAGTCTTCAGATCTTAACTCAACAGTTATAATAAATAAATACTAAATCTTAATATAATTCTAGGAATAATAATAACTATCAACAACTTCAGACAAACCAACCTCAACTTTATCAATCTGGACTTCGACCTCAAAAGCCAAATAATTTTGTTTGTTACTAATATGAACAACCTGAACATACTTGAAGAACCTACCCTTAAGTTCAAAATATAAATTATCAAAATATTATACCTTCTGTTGCTAACTCTGTAAACTCTATGAATTCTGTAAATCCTGTATCAAATAATCAGCAACCTGCTTAACCTAAACAAGCTTCACAAGTCAACCAACTCTTGCAACTTCTTACTCAACTTGTATCTAATAATTCTGTATAGCAATTTTAACCTCAATCTATAATTCAACCTCAAGCATAAGCACTACCTATTAATTAACAACAACAGCAAGCCCAACTCTACTATCTAATATAGCAAACTCAGGTACAACCTCAAGTTCAACTATAGCAACAAGCTCAACAATAATAACAATAGCAACAATATTTAAACTAGAAGACATACCTCATAAAGGTGAGTATATAACTCAATCTACAATTCTCTCTAACATAATGACTCTAAAAACATACTTTGCAAAAAGACAATGAGTTGACCAAGATAAAAGGACTGATGATTCAAACAAAAAAGAAATAACCAAGGATATTAAACAAAAAAGAAAAGCAGTAAAAAGGAAACTAGCAGCTATGCTATCTGTAAACCAAATAATTATATTCTATACTTCTCAACAATTCTTTGACCAATCTGCAAATATAACTAATAGACAATTATTAGCAATAAATCTTAAATTTA